CTTTGAATATATGAATTACTTGGAGAAACTGATAAATCCTTAAGTTATTGTGAGCAATTTTGACATAACTATGAGAAAGTGATAAATTGGTCACACGAAAGTCGGCAAGGATATAGAAGCTGGATCTAAAAACTATATAGGAGGATAAATAAGGAAGCATTTCAGAAAATACAAAATTGTTGTTATATTTATTATAAAATGTCATCAAAATTGACCATGTGCTAAATCAGAGAACCTTTAAAAATTTTTCAAAGTTTTAACATCATAGTTGTAGAGACCCATTCACTCATCACAGTGTAGTCACATTTTAAAAGTTATTGAAAACCAGTTGACTCCTAAATAACTCCTGGGTTAAAGAAAAAAATTCCAATAGAAATTATTAAGTACAACAGTCCCCCGTTATCCACAGTTTTGCTTTCCATAATTTTAGTTACCTGTGGTCAACCATGGTCTGAAAGTATTAAATGGAAAATTCCAGAAATAAACAATTCATAAGTTTTAAATTGCTTGCCACTCTTAGTAGCATGATGAAATCTTGCACCATCCCAGCTAGGACATGAACCCTGTCTGTGTTCAGCATATCCACACTGTATACACTGCTGCCCATTAGTCACTTAGCAGTGGTCTCAGTTATCAACTCTACTGTCAAGATAGCACAATCCTTATAGTCCGGTAACTCTTACTTTACTTAAAAACATCCCCAAAGCACAAGTGATGCTGACATCTTACTGTAATGATTAGTTGTTTGTCTCTTACTCTGCCAGATGCATAAACTAAACTTTTTTATAGTTATGTATGTATAGGAAAAATAAAGTATATGTGGAGCTCAGTACTATCTGCCATTTCAGGCATCCCTGCTGGTCTTAGAACGTATCCCCCACAGGTAAGGAGGGACTGCTGTGTTTAGAACTATGCAGCAGGATAGCACTTGTAGTAGACAGTGCCCAGTGAGCGCTGCCCCTGCGTTTCATACTCTGTACCCTGAGACTGAGTTACAGAGTGACTCTGGCTTCCATCGTGGGTGCCCTCTCTCACTCTTTCTTAACTCATTTGCTCTGGGAAAGCCAGCTACCATATTGCGAGCTGCCATATGGAGAGGCCCAACCGTTATGTCTCCAGCCAGAAGCCACTGAGCACCTGAGGCCTGCCAAGAGAAAGCTCTTTGATGTGAAACTTATCCCAAATCGTGCCTGGAGATGACTGTAAAGCTTTGGTTGCCACCTTACTGGGTACTGTACCTGAGAGGTGCCCAGTTAAGCCACTTCCAGGTTCCTGGCCCATGTAAATGTTGTATATTAAGAAGCTGTGGTTGGGGGGAGGGAGGAAATTTGTGTTTGGCAATAGGTAATTAGTACAGTCCTACATATCAAAACCTGGAGATTATAGCTAAATAGTAAATTTAGAGCCTCAATAGTAAATTTACTACTGATGTTAGAAAAAGGAGAAAGGCTGAAAAACATACTGTTAAGTAATAAAAATAAGGACATGTTAATGAAACAAGAAATAATAGAATGATGTGAAAAATTAACAAAAGCAAAAGCTAGTTCTTTGAAAAGACTGATAAAAAAGTCAAGCTTCTGGTAAGTTTTATCTTGGAAAAAAAGCAAAAATAGTGTTAGAAATGAGAAGGGGTTTGTAACTAGAAACACAGACCTTTAAAACCCTAAGTAAATATTATATATAATGAATGGAAACTTTCATTCTATATAATAATTATATATAACAAAATGGGCGACTCTGAGAGTTGAGCATTATATACTGTTCAAAGAACTTCTAGAAATTGATAAGGAGACAAGTCATTTTTTAAAAAATGGGTCAAGAATAATGAGGAAACAACTCAAGTGCAGATAAATTCAAATGGAGCACATGAAAAAGTGCTGAGACCTGCCTGTCCTGTCGTTTGAGCCAGTGATTACTAGGGAGTAACAGGCTGTTACTTTGTACCTAAGAACAGGGGTTTTTTTGTTTGTCTGTTTTTTTAGAGACAGAGTCTTACTTTGTAGCCCTCAGTAGAGTGCTGTGGCGTCACAGCTTACGGCAACCTCCGGCTCTTGGGCTTAAGTGATTCTCTTGCCTCAGCCTCCTGAGTAGCTAGGACTACAGGCGCCCACCACA